AATCAATTCACCTCCTCATCTTCATCATCTTTAAGATTTATGACATCCTTTCATCTAAAATATGATGAAAATTTTAACATATATAAATTAATAAACTATCAAGATCTTTGAGAATTTAAAAATACAAAAAAAATATTCAAATTAATTAATTAATCAATGTGGGAATAAGTATTTACTAAAACAACTTATCATCAACAGATCTTTTCCTTTTAATCCTAGAAGTTGAATTTGCACCACCATTAGAAGGTCATGACCAGAAAGCTAAACATTTGTTCTTAAAAATATAAAATTGGAAGTTACCATCTCCAACATTTATAAAACCATTAGTGTTACCATCCACAATATGATTATTTGTTACAAACTGAGTTCATCTATTGCCAAAACTAGTTTTATAAACAACTACTTCTCATTTAGTACCACAAACATTATGAAGAGAAACAATAGGCTTATCACTAAGAAGTTTATTATAGATTTCTTTTGAGATACTTTGTAAAATCATTAATAAAAAACTAAAATAAAGATAGAGACTACTAAATTGGATTAATAATGATATTTTAAATAATTGTTAACAAATTAAAAACAAGAAAAATAGAAGGAAAATAAGCAAAAATACCATCTTTATTATACAATACTTGAAAACATAAGTTAAGAAATTAAATGGTAGCTTCTCTTGCATCAAATTACTCGTCTTTAAAACTGAAAAGCTCAAAAAATTAACAAAAGTAGATGAAATATATGAAAGTAAATTGAAAACTAATTAGTAAACGTATAAAACAAAGTTTAAATTGTTATAAACTGTTTTTCAAGGTTTTAGAATTAACATTAATCCCATTCAATACCTCATGTTAAAGTACAATTGCCTAATAAAGTAGCTTAATAATAAAATTAACTTTTTTTATTTCAAATTTGAAAATGATAACTATTATTTATTCCTAACTTATATAATTTGAAGACCAAAAAAGAGAGTTTTGTTGAAGAAAAAGTAACAAAAATGAGTTTACAAAGCAACAACATTAGCAAAAGAATCAATTATAAATTTTTTTTACTACTGTTAACTACAAGAGGAGAAGGTCTCCTTCACTAGCTAGAAAAATTGAAAACATATTACCAATACTAAAGAAGTTGGCATCACCAATATTTGATTATTTCCTTACAAACAAAGAAGTTAAATTAACATAATGATTTTTTTTCTTTATTTGAGCTATTTGATCTTATTATATTATATTTTAGCTTAACATTCTACTTTTTCATTTCAAGGATTTAGTAAGTTTTTTTTATCACCCAACCGCTAGTGAAAATGGTTTAGAAAATATGAGCACTCTTATAAATGATGAGTTGGAAAAAATTACTGCAAAAAAGAACAACAATGTTAATTTTATTTTGAGAGAAGATGAGGATAAGCACATTGATATTGAATCCATCAGAAAAAATATTAAAGAATTATTTATTGAACCAAAAAATCAATATGAGAGTCCAATGAAAGAAGTGCATGAAGTTAATAATGACTATTAAACTGCTAAGATCATCATATGTATTTGTTAGACTTTTAAATGTTAGATAATTAGTATGTGTTGTTTATTTAATTAAATAATTAGTATATGTTATTTATTTAATTAGATAATTAGTATCTATTATTTATTTAATTAGATAATTAGTATCGATTGTTTTTTTAATTAAGCCTTAGTAGATTAAGA